GACCTTAGCTTGGGTGGCTGCCTTCAGTCCATACGGAGATCCAAGGTAGTCCTGCAGGCGTCCACAGGCCCTGGCATCTCCATCTATATTTTCTTCATGTTTCACTCAAGTAATTTAGAAACAGTGTTGCATTTATTTTCCGTACCTTGTTTGTAGAATTCTTAGACCCTATATGGAGTTGTGACACTAGTCTTGGGTAGTTTTTGTTTAAGAACTCATGTTGGAATTATTTAAATGGTTTAATTGTTTTTTTCACTTGTTTTAAATTTCCGCTATTTATAAACTGTTTATTCACATTTGTTAAAGAATTAAAAATAGGAAAAAAGTAATTTGTTCAAATGGACGGCTTGCATAGCTTTCACTAGTAGATGCCATCACGACTCCCGAGGGTGGGAAATCCGGGTCGTGACACATTCTAATAGGAGATGCACTTCCTAATCTGAACCATTAATCCTAGGAGACGCACTTCCTACTATAAGTCCTTCAATCTTACTCGTAGGAGATGCACTTCCTAGTTTGAGTCATTTCAATAGGATACACACTTCCTTATCTGAACCATTAATCGTACGAGATGCACTTCCTAGTAAAAGTCCTTCAACCTCACTCGTAGGAGACACACTTCCTAGTTTGAGTCATTCAACCTCACTCGTAGGAGACGCACTTCCTAGCTTGAGTCAACCCTATTCATTCTAATAGGAGGCACACTTCCTAATATGTATCATTACTCCTAAGAGACACAACTCCTAGTTCGAGTACTTCAATTGCCCAGTCATCCTAATAATACCCATGGGAGATGCACCTCTTAGTCTATGGTTTATCAGTTCTACTCCTAAGAGAAGCATATTCGATTCGGAGTATTCAGTATCTTTTTTGCATCTTTCAAATAAAATAAGTTGATCTACAACTTTACCTAATAACTCACAAAATTTTCTCAGTGCCAAACTAGGGCAGAAAATTTTGTTCGTCTTTGATGGCTTTGCAGGCCCCGCCGTAGAGCACAGGTTGTGACGATCAAAGCTTGAAGTTTCAGTTATCATCAGAAGAAAGAAGTCTTTCGATCACAGGATAGTTGGAGTTAACTTTGACAATGCGTGAGTGATCCACCTTCTCAAGATTCATCTTCTCAATTTCGGATCAGGAAAGCAAGAAACTGAGATTGAGTCATAATCTTTTCTTCAAAGAGCATCAAGATCCAATCTAAGGTCAACACAAACGAGAAGATCAAGAATCAAGATTTGACTCTAAAAGACACATAGATAGGAATATTGTAGCTTTTTAGTTTGCAGACATATGTTGTTCTTTCTCTTTTTCTTTTGATGTAAGCATCAAGTAACAATAATAGTAGCAAGTAGCAGTAACAACAACAACAACAACAACAACAACAGTCTTAACTCTAGTGTTTGGTAGTCCCAGCTACCAAATTTTCTATGAACTACACTGACCTGATTCCTTTAAAGTCAAGGATATGTCGGCAACCTCAAAAGTAAGGTTCCGTCACCTTTTTCCAAAAAATGCTTTCATTGGAGTATTACGCGAGCAAATTTAGCCATGGCATTTACTTTTCTTTGCACGAAAACTCTTCATGTTCTCGAGGAAAGAAGGGCAGCTGTGAATACCTAATTTTACATGCTTTTAATTCTCCGACAAAAAAAAACTAACTTTTGGATAGTTTTAGCTATTTGAGTTATTTTTCTTTAAATTTATTTGTATATTTTTATGTGAATTCCTTAATTAAAAAGTATCAAAAATAATTTTTTTCACCTTCTATTTGTATTTTAGTTTGCATATTTTAATTATATATATCAAAAAGATTTTTTTCTACTTGTACAGTTTCTTTATGACTAAATAAGTCTATAATTTTATTAGAGGAAAAAGGAATTAGGCTAGTCTATTTTAATTAAAATTGAGCTAAAAGTGGCTCAAAATTTGAGCCCAATTGGGGCATACCTGATCCATTAGGTGGCTGGCCAAAAAAGAGCTCAAAACGATGTAGTTTAGGAAGAAACTACATCATTTCATTAAGTGACAAGATTAAATGTGAGTCTTCCATTGCCTTTTGATCTGGTGGTCCTTATTCCTCCTCAATCTAGGTATTTAAAACCTAGAAAATCAGAAATTTTGCCCTATTTTTCCCTTCCCCCTTCTTTTTCTCTTCTCTCCTCAATTCCTCAAACCCTCCACCAGCTGCTACCTGTCACAGTCCGATGGTGGACAATCAACCCTAAAATTTCACCATATAATCTTCACAACCTCTTATTTCCATATCTTCAAACCAAATCCTTAAAAAAAAACCTTAAAATACACGAATAGTAGATCTAAGAAAGCCTAGTCGTCAATTTTTTCTTAAAATTCGTGAAATTTGAGCCATATTTTCCACCCAACACCTATATACATGGACAGAGCTCGGCGAGGACTACTGTTTACATTGGTCTCAAGCTGAAAATCTAGCAAAAAATCTGGCCAAATTTCTACGACCACCCCCTGTCCGAAGCCATTTTCTCGACCTAGGCACGTTTTTCTTTGAGATAAAAATGCTAGTTTCGACGGCCGTGTGACAAGAAAATTATAGTGGCATTTTATCTCAAAGAAAAATGTACTCGAGTCGGCTGCCTCATTGCGGAACCGAGTTTGGTAAAACTCCTAATCCCTTTCTCTTTGTCTTAAATTTTCTATTTTTCTTATTTGATTTGTTAGTTTGTTTAGGTTTAAGTTCTGATAATGATCAATCCACTACTTCGTATAGTATTATTTCTGATTTCGACGCTTAGTTGGTTATGTTGTGAATAATTGCTTCACTATAATACGTGGTTTGCCTAATCATAGGTTTTTATTTTTTCCCTTGTATTGATCATATCAGTATTAGTTTAATTGGCTAAGTTCAATGCTGAATTTTCTGCTTTTACCGTTTGACTTGGTTTGTTAGTTTGATATTAGTTTGTGAAGGGTAAAAGGTAAATGGTGAGCTTTTGTGAGTGAATTTTATTTCAGCAAGACCTTTCAAAAGCATAAAAGTGTTGAAATTGATTGTTGGGATCCTTCTTCTATTAAAGTTACTAAGTTTAAGGATGTTTTCTAGGCTGTTTCTCAGGTAAAAAGTTGCTGATTTGCTGCTGGTTGTTGCTGTTTTGGCTGCTGGAATTTCATTTCATTCTGCTGTATTTTGGTATTTTTTACATTTCACGTAATTCTTCATCCTTTGTAATGCAGATTTGTAATAGCAATCAGTGAAAGTTTTAGCATGTTTATATTATTTGAGCATCTTTAAATGAGTTTGCCAGAAGTTCCAGTTTTGAATCCGGCTTGGGGATCATAGTGTTAAATCCATGACTTTGCTGCTTTATTTTTCCTCTATAGTATTTTTTTCATCTTTTAAGTGGTATTTCAATATAATCTTGGCAATATTTTAGACAAGAAAATAGTTTGTTAAAGATTCAATAAAGACTTTGGAGTGGACAAAAGCTATGGAGTTTGTGAAAAAGTGTCTTGTTTGGCTTAAGATCTCTGCCATTTTGCTTGCTAGAAGTTGGAATTAATGATCTAGTTTTATTATTCCCCTATTGCAGCAATGTTGTTTTCGGCTTTAGTTAATTTCTCGTTACCCAATTGTTTGTTTTAGATTTCATGTTTCTTTTACTAGTCCCCTTTAGTACTACTTTAATTGGCGAAAGCTGAAATTTTTCTTTCTTCCAAGTCACATGGAAATAGAGCGGGTAGTTTGCGCAGTTGTTAAGCTATTGGCTCATATCAGCTAATGAGTTATATTTGTGTTTAACTAAAATTGGCCCCAACAGCTTACTTAATAATAAGTTGATCCATTCCTTTTATCAAGAAGTTAGCCAGTTTCTTTAAAATGGATAGAACCGGTCCAATATTAAATTGTCATGTTCTCCTACAATAATAAATCTAAAAATCAGATTTTTTTTTTGAACTATTTTAATAGTTTAGATACTCTTAAATAATTTGAGAGCTAAGTATATTGGCAAGAACATGTGCACATAATTTATTTATTTATTTGTTTTGTTTATACTAATTTTATTCTTTTAATTAATAATAATGATAATAAGAATAAAGTTCTAAGGTCTAATATCAATAATATTCCTATGTCATCCTACCATCATTAACCTAGAAAGAGGCATTTTGTTTAATAATAAAGATGAACAATTATTTTTCCAAAATCTAACCCCTATAGTAATTCGTCTTAACTTTCGTAAATAATTTCGTCTTAACCGATATCGGGAAGACTCGCTTCGGAATAAAGATATAAATAAAAAGGCAAGGTCGTGAGGACGTCTTGTTCCAATTCTTTCAAGTAAATAAAAGTTTGTTATTTAATAAACTTCGAGTAGACTCCAATTTTAGGTACGACGCACGAACTAAGGTCGGGGATACTCATCTTGGTTAGTGTAAGCTAGGGTCGGGGATAATCATCCAAGTTTGAGATTAATAAAGTCATCAACAATAAAAGTGTACATAGGCAAACATGAAAATCAAATAAAGCACGGTTTATCTAAAAATTAATTTAAAGCAAAATTTAGGTAATAAAGCGACCATGCTAGAACTACGGGACTCGAGGAATGCCTTACACCTTCTCCCCGATTAACAGAATTTTTTACCCTGACTTTGTTTTTGCAGACCAATAATGATAGAGACAAATCTTTCTTTGACTAGGGATTCAAATAAAAGGTGACTTGAAACACCCAAAATCAATTCCAAGTGGCGACTCTGTAAATAAAATATCCCTACTCAAATTTGTCACTTTAATTGGGAAAACTCTTTAACCCACAATCCATAACATACATATATCTTTTGGGGTAAAAAAAGTGGTATGACACTTAGTTGAGTTGTAACTTTGTAATAGTTCTTTAATTGTAATTCCTATCTAGCTTGTTTAGAAGAATTCTATAGGAACTCATTTGTAAATCTTAAACTAGTGTGTTTGAGTCGTGGCTAGAGTTAGTCAAGTTGTAAAGTCTTTATAATAGAGTTATTGCCAAGTAGCTTGTAATAGAGTATTACAAGTTAGTGAGGATTAAGAGGTTAATTTCTAGGTTTCATAAATTGTAATCTAAAAGTTGCTCAGTAGTGAAGTTGAAATCCTACAAGGGTAGGTCGTGATTTTTAATCCTGTTAAGCTGGAAATTTTCCACATAAAATTCCTCTTGCCATTTAATTACTAATGTGTGTGTATGTACTATTGGACCTGATAGAGAACCTGGTTCTCTATAGAGTTTGGTGGAATCATATATTATATCAATTGGTATCAGAGCAGGTTCTTTCTATCAAGTTAACACCTAGAAAGGATCATTACGATTGCTTCTCCAAACTTTGAAAAAAGCCAGTCTACTTTAGACCACCTAGGTTCAATGGATAGTATTATGGTGGTGGAAAACTAGAATCCATGACTTTATCATGGCTGAAGATTCTGAGCTATGGGATGTTATATGTGATAAACCATTTATTCCTATCAAAAACCTTGGCGACCCACCAGTAGCTATTCCTAAGACGAGGAAAGAATTCAACGATGTAGATTGAAAGGCCATAGAGAAGAACTTTCGTGCTAAGAATATTTTGGTATGTGGTATTGGACCAAGTGAATACAACAAGATATCAGCATGTCACTCAACCAAAGAAATCTAGGAAGCCTTGCAGACAACTCATGAAGGAACAACACAGGTTAAGCAATCCAAAATCGACATGCTCACAACTGAATACGAGATCTTCAGGATGCAAGACAATGAATTTGTCCAAAAAATGAATACTCGGTTCACCTCCATCACTAATGAGCTTCACTCCCTTGGTGAAACTATTCCAAGAAACAAGCTGGTTAGAAAGATCCTAACCGCGCTACCCAATTCTTGGGAAAGTAAAGTGAATGCCTAAGAAGAAGATTCCAGAAGATGGTTCAGGAATAGAGGCATTCCAAAAATGGGAAGTTCAAGCAAGACAAAGATTTATGATATCTATCATAAATGTGGCAAGCCAGAACATTTCATCAAGGATTGACCTCTCCTAAAGAGGATCAGTACAAGAATAACTCTGACAAAGCAGCCAAAAGGAACCTGGTTCCTACCAGACACTTCAATAGAAAAAACGATGTTGGCAATGTTGTAAGAAAAGCTCTTGTTGCATGGGGAGATTCATCAAGCGAATCTGGAGAAGATGATGAAACAGGTAACAACTCTATGATAGCAGTAGAAAGTGAATCAACCGAGTATGATTCAATTTTTACTTTGATGGCCCAGTATGATAATGAAGTTGACGATGATGATGAGGTAAATTTTCTGGATGTTCAAAGAAATCTGAAATCTTATTCTCTGAAGAAACTCATGTCTTTGGTAAATGTGCTAATCGACGCTTATCATAGTCTTATAAATGATAGAGATGTCTAAACAGTTTAACTAAAAGAAGTAGAATAGTATATAGATGACCTAGTAATAGTTACAGTTGATCTAAGAGAGTCAATCGAGAACTTGAAGAAAGAAAGAAAGAAATGTCATAAAGAAAAAGATTGAAAATGTTGAACAAGAAAGACATGACCTTCTAGTGGTAGTAATGGACTTGAAGGAAACCATTGGGAAACCTACAATGGAAAGTAGTGCTGAAAATTATCAAAAAGGAAAGGAAGTTGCAAGCGAGGCACACATTAAGCTTGAAAATGAGTTAAAGTCAGTGCAGTTTGTCTACGTGTTGAGCTTGAGAAAAACAAACAACTTCAGGAAGAACTAGGTAGAGTAAAGACTGATCTTGAAAAATCACTCAAGTAGACCCGGTCCTCTTATGCTATTACTGCCATGTACTCCAAAAATGGGGGAAACAGGCAAGGGATTGGGTTTCAAAGGGAAAAGATCTCGTACAACCCTCATAGTAAGTACGTTACTATACCTGACAATTGGCTTTGTACTCACTGCTAAGAAAACTGTAAGGTCAGATATCAGTCAAAACAGAAAAACAAAGCCTATGCTGAAAAAGTAACTACTAGTAGAGAACCTGGTCCATCATTTAAAAAATACAAAATGCTTGCATGGACCAAAAGATCCCTTATTCATCCCTTTCCTCATTACAAGGGACCCAAATTGGCTTGGGCTCCTAAAGCTAACTCTGAATCTTCTTGTGTAGGGAATAGTGAAATGAAGCAGCCTACAATGGTACATGGATTGTGGCTGCTCAAAGCATATGACTGGAAGTGTGAATGATTTCCTTCCACTAAAGGCCCTGCAAGGAAGGAGTGTATCCTTTTGGAATGGTAGGAGGGATACATTCTGGGAGTTGGAATTATTGGGAAGTCTCTCTCTGTCATGACCCAAACTGATAGGCCACGACGGGCACCTGGTACCTTACCCAACCGAGCACCAACATATCATATCTTTTAATACCATACTAACATAGGTAAATGAGACGGAAAGGCTGTCATAGGATAACTAGAATAAAACATGTATTAGCAACTTATACATAAGACATACGGGCTTATAAGATCAAAATGATCACTCGTATACTAAACATAGGCTAACATGACCATATAATATTTACGTATATGACATATGTCTACAAGCCTCTATGAGTAGATAAATTACCATAAAGTTTGCGACAGGGTCCCGACATACTAAACATTTTACGTCCAAATTATACTAACCAGATAAGCAACTCTGGAGCAAATGAAGCGCACCAACATCTTCCGTTGAGCCGATAGCCAACTTGGAGGACTCTCGACCTGTATATCGGGACCTGCGGGCATGAAATGCAGCATCCCCAGGCAAAAGGGACGTCAGTACGAATAATGTACCGAGTATGTAAGGCACATAAATAAGTACACAAAAGACATGGAAGAAATATAGAGTAAATGACTCAACTTGTAAGTCTGGATAACTCTGTAAGTCATGAAATACTTATAGTGTCATGCATCTGCATATGAATATCATATCGTGCATAGGTACATATGTTCATAACATTATCAACGTATACCAACTGATCAGGTGGTGGTGTGTTTATAATGCCATAACTTTTTTCCATATCCTATATACATATAATATACATATATGCGCGTATATAATGTCATCTGGTTATGGATCAATGTATATGTATAAATGAATACAATGCATGAGAAGTACGTCAATAAAATCTCTCAGAATGTCATAAGACCATTATGTCATTGATTAACATCCTGAAATAAACTTTATCAACATACATATTTTCTGAGACCCATGAACAGATAATAGAATAATATGACACATGAGGAATCAAGAACATAAGCATCTCTAGTATTTCTATGAATAGAGTCATTTGTGGAAATTGTGCAT